TAGAAATTTATCAGATTTAATGTAGCCCTTTTCTAATAAATTATTTAATTTTAACTTAAGTCTATCAAATTCAACTTCATTGAAATAATATAGAGATTTTTTAATATGTTTTTTATGCTAAGTATTAATTTAATTTTTAGATCAATTCCTTGATATAAAAAAAATTCTATTAGCGACTCATTGGTCAAATTAAATTTAAAATATGTTAAGAATAAGATCTAAAGATAAAATTTTGGCTCACTAATCAAATTTTTAGTAAAAAATAAAAATTAATATCACAAACTGTAAGATGAATCACTCTCCTTCTATTATTTTTTTGTCTAATTAATTAATCTCACAATTATTTAACATGGATAAGTAAAAAAATAAAAGACCTTAGACTTATTAGACTTATTCATTACAAAAACTTCTACTTTAAAGAAATTCTATAAATTTTATATCATGTATCTTAGAAAAATATTCCTTAATATTTTGATTATCTCACTAGAGTTGCAAGTTTTTGAAGTCTTCTTAATACTCCACATTCTCACACTAAACTTTGTTTCTTTTAGAACTTAATTGGCTTGACCACTTTTTTGTTTGTAAGAGACTTTTACTATTCTTTTCTTACCATAAGGCATCTTAAATCTTGCAACACAATCATTATCTACTAACAAATTGGTGGTACTTGTATCAATTATTTTTAAAATACTAATTCTCTGAAATTGAGTCTTATAACAAACTATTTTTTTTTGTTAAGATTCACATAGGTGATCCTTGCTTACAATCTATGAGTTCTAGAAGAATCCTTTGATTTAAGCTTATTTTTTTCAATTCTTAGAAAGCCTCTACTAGCAAAGTTTTAAAATTTTACATTTAATTTTACATTAGAATTTCTCATCTAATTCTTTCTTCAATAAGACTAGACTTTTACGTCTTTTTTTCTATTTGGAGTTAGAGGACAAGGATATTAACTTCTTAAAGAGTCTTTAGAATGGCTTCTATATTCTAAATTTTTATTTTTCTAAGACTCTTTTATTTCTTAGTAATAATTACAAAAAGAAGTTTCCATTACTAAAGGTGAGTGTATATTATTAGGTTATGAAAGTCTTTCACATAGTCTAGCAATATTATTTTGGTTTATTAAGAACAAAAATCTAGAAGTAACAACTCATTTATATAGTTTTGTTATTATAGCTTAAAATATACTACTATCAAGTTATATATTGAATTGTATAAAACTTCTTTAAAAAAAGTATATATTTGTATTTATATATAGTATCTAATTAATTAAGAAACAAACATTTGAAAAAAAATATATATCTCTAGACTCTTTTTTTATTTATTTTTATCTAACTTGTCTTATGTTAGTACTATTTTTCTTTAGGATTTTTTTTTTTTTTTTTTTTTTATATATATATATATATATATATATATGGTTTCTTTTCATTTTTTTTGTTGGTCAATCTTAAGTTTGATTGATATAACTTCTTTCATCCTTATGCCTCCTAAGTGGTAAGATTGTTTGATAACCTTTACCACCTTTTTGACATATTTAACACTTGTGTACTTTTGGGCTTTTGATTTGGCCTTTTTCATGGATCTAGCCAACTTTTCTTGTATTTTGCTTTACATTAAGGTGTCAATTGCATCATCTCTTATATGCAACTTCTCCTTATTACTTTTAAGGATTTTTTTAAATTTTTAAATTATAAATTTTTAATTAATTAATTTTTTTTTGCTCTATTATTTTGTTTTGTTTTTAAGTGAAGTTCTAACAAAGATGACTACTTTGTCAACTTACCTAGGATTGTCTTATTTTTCTTTAAATAAAAGAGATGCTTGTGTATTTTTTTTAATCTTATTTTTGGAACTCTTAAACTTTATTATTTTTAGGTTCAAAGAAAAAAATTACTATCGATGACTTTAATTCCAAAAATCCCTTCTCTCTCTTTTTGTTACATAGCTTCTTATTGGCTTATTATTAACCTTACCATTATCAAGTGATGCCACCTCTATTAACTAATTATAACAAAAATCTTTAGAATACCAAATTTAATAAATCCTAATATTATATGTAACAACCTAATTTTGAGTTTTTAATTTTTTAAATTCAATTTGCATCTAATATGTGCCTTAAAAAAATGTTAATTAGATCAAATTTTTACTTAATTGATCCATCCATCCAAACTATCATAAAAAAATAAAAAATAAAATAAAAGATAAAAATAGTTTCTAGATTCATTTTTTCACTATTGGATCTACAACCAATAAAAACCAACCACATTTGTCATGATTACCTTCATCATCAAGGATGGATCTATTTAATAAAAACATTGGTCTATTTAACATTTCCTTTAAATTAACATTTTGTCTAAAGAATCACATCCATTGCAAGTCAAAAGTGCTCATGATTATGAACTTTCTATTTACATGAATCTTAATTTTATATATGTACTATAACTATGTTCTAATTTGATTCCAAGTAATTATGCTTGGAATCAAATTATGCACCTCCTTTTGTTCAGACGGGAATAATCCCACTAAATCAAACATTTTGAAATTATGATTCACAACTTAATATATATTTGGTGTTTCTCCACCAACCACTCACCAGTGAATCTTTAGTCCCTTAATTAACCATATAGGTTCACAAGTAAGGACTCCTTTGAGCCGTTACACTAACATGCATAAATGTCTCCATTTGCGGCATCTGAATGAGTGACGCAGCGCGACGGGCTGGCAAATGCACTCCTTTATCTCTACAACGAGCAATGGATTCGAGGAATTCGTGAAACTAGTGGACGTCGCTGGGAAGTAGGGATCAGAGAGCTCGTTGAATGGGGATCTAGGCAGAAAACGCCCGAGTTTTGTCGTAGTTGTGTGTAATTTTTTACCTTATGAGAGTATGAGAGTAGTATACAGGGTAGCATTCAGCAAAGATGTCGGCAGTGCCATCGGACGTTTTGCACGGAGAATGTACTGGCATCACGACAAGGAAGCAATGTTCAAATGCTTTGGTCTATTGTATGTGCCATTACATCGATGCTTTTATGGTGGAATGTTCAACCCGAGGTCTTTTCCAGGCTTTGGCTAGACTGGTGGATGCTGGTGGGCAGGGCTGGTACGAGAAAGCTTGGATCCATGATCTGAGGATCACTTCAGTCCTTTCTATGTCACCTCTTCGACATACATGTTACGTGTTGTGTGTTGCAATGGACCATTGTTGTCGTCCCTTCAGGTTTTAACCTCGACTTAAGGCAGCTTGTACAGGTGGAATCGATAGCGATGCCTCAACTGGGTAGGCAGGTGAGAATTGCACGAAATCACTTACCTCGTCTACAAGCTTGTCCCATGAATTGCATTCAACGAGGAATTCGTTTGCTTTCTGTTCATGCACTACATCTATGTTATCATTCGGCTGTGAGGATGGCCGATGCCATCGGTGGAAAAGACTTTTTGATTCCGTGGTGGAGTATTGTGATTATGTTACGCCATTCTGTTTTTCTCCTTTATAAAAAAGGAGCTACTGTGAAAACGTCTCTCGGAAAGGACCGATGGGTTCCCCGCAGAGCATCGGAAAGCCGTTGTCGATTTCGAATTTATCTACAGAAATTCAAATCGCTGGCCGTACTTTCTCTGCTCTTCAACAGAATAGTGTTGGAGGATTGAGTCATTCCCACGGTCAGTATAAGTAGAATCATCTATGAAAGTGGATCGCATGGCTGCAGACGTTACCTCACGTCTTTGTTCTTGAATCTATCTCTTCGTAGAACGATCCTTACAAGACCGGCGCAAAAGTTGATATAAATTGAGGACACGACGTCTCTAGGATTGCAGGTCTCACTTCTGCATTGATTTTAGATTCACCTATCCATGCTCATGTGCTGAATTTCTAATGAACTTTATGCAGTGCTCAACAAACCCATCAGTTGCGTGGATGCATCACGACAGTAAGAGACGTAGCAACACCTCAGATCCTATAACTGGGTCCTTGTCGTCAACATTCGTTCTGCACGCAATATGCTTCCTTTTACTCTGTTTCCAATGAGTTTGTCTCCACTTACTTTGCTACTCTCTACAAGATTTGCATGATACCGAATTTCGTGGTTGGAGATTGTCTATGCCCAACGCGCAATCTTCCTGTTGAGGGTGTTCCAGTAATTACTCATGCAATTCCTTAAAGCACAGAACAAAAAATAAGGAAAGGAAAGAAAAAAATAAAAATAAAAATAACGCCAGACGCAGGGTAATTACGTTGGTGCACTAACCCTTGAGGGAGAGAGTTTGTTTTATGTCGCTACAATCCCGTTAATGTGGTGAAAGCAGAGAAGGTTCTGAACATGCCATTTCTTAAGGCAATTTTCAAGTAAGGTCTCTGATGTTGTGTTCTACGAGTTCCCGCGCGGTACTTAGAAGGTTTGGTGAGAAAAGATGCATGCGAAGTCATTTGATGCAATTTGACCACTGTTGCACCTGGATTGCAGGGTCCACGGTTGTGCATCGGAGCGCGAGTATGGGACCCGTTGGGAGCCTGTCGCGATTGCGTGAGCCATGGGATCAAGGCGCCCAGTAGCTTGCTTAAGAGCAGTCATCGTCCTCAAGCCGCTGTTGTTAGATGGGTCCCGGGAAGCCAGATCTGTGGGTAGTTCTTTTCAGCTGTTTGGAACTTTGTTTGCACAGAATTTGCCCGAATGGTTGCCTCTTTTTGCCGTAGTGGCGGGTAGCAGCGTCTTACGGCTTGCAAAAAAGCTCTACAGCATCAGCAATACCGCTTGGAGCACTTCCACTCACCTACTATTCGATCTGGAGTGCGATGTAGGCTCTGAATTTTTGGGGTTTTGTCACAAATTTATTTTGTTCCTTTGGCGGCTGATTTGTACAGGTATTTCGGGGTGTCTGCAACCCTAAGTGGAAATTCAGTGGAAAAGTTAAAATTTGAGCATGGCCAAAAAATGAAGATCCAGAGTAAGGAGAGGGAGCACGCGTTTGTTTGCACAAGCGGTGAATGCATCGATGTAGCAAGTGGAGAGAATTTGAAGGGATTTTATCATGAGGTCGAATGTGTGGCAGATAGGATGGAGAGTGAAGGTGATGTGGGTTTTGGTACACACCGTGGGGGTAGGAGGACTGTTGTTCTTGGATTCTAACCTGTATAGGAACACTGTGGCTTATTCTTGGTGGGCAGGGAGTTACTATGTGCTGCTGTTGGTAGTTGTAATTCAGTACTGCTGCACTGCTGGATCTTCGCCTGGATATTTGGTAGATATGTTGAGTGAAGATGCCGAATATGAAATTCGTGCGAAAGCAGCCGTACATGGGAATTCCAGAGCCTCCCAATCGGTAGTTGAAAAGGGTTGTAGTTCATATGGCTCGTTCAACAGCAGCGAGAGCACTCGAACAGCTTCACGGATTCTCACAGAAAATGGGAAAGGTGGCCATCCCTCTGTTTCAGAGACGAGTCCATTGCTGATGAACTCAGCAAATGTGAAGCGGGAATCTGATGGTCGCCATTCAGTCAGAGCTCCCAACAGCTTGTCGCTGGTATGCAATGCTGACCGCTGCCTTTACTGCCAACATTGGCAGCCATTAAGGGTCAAGCACTGTCACGACTGCGACAAGTGCGTGCTACGGTTTGACCACCATTGCGTTTCGTTGGGGACATGCGTTGGACAAAGAAATCATAGGAAATTCTGGTGGTATATCTTCTATGAGACAGTGCTGGTAATGTGGACTATAGTTAGGTACATCTCGGCTTTTGGGAGGAATACTGGGAGTTCCTCGTTGCTGGAGAAAATCGCTGTGTTGGTCTTGATAATAGGACTCATCAGCACAGAGTGCTTCCTGGTAACTCTACTTCTGTTTCATTCCTTCCTGATACTAACCAACCAAACTACATATGAAACGACAAGGCGACATCGCATTCCTTATCTTAGGACTTTACCTGAAAATGTGCATCCTTTCAGCAAAGGCATGGATGCCAACTTAAGTTCTTTCTGCTGCTCACCGAGCTCCGAGTACCCAATTTACGTACTCCCAAGCCGAGAGGAGTTACAGAATATGGTACACCCATTGTGTTGCTTTCAACTGTAAGTAATTTTGTTGTGACCCCTGCTTTTGCTAGCTTCATGTTGTCCGGGAGTTGATTTTAGAGTGGAATTAAACCCCCTGTAAACATGTAATAGAGGAATGTAAGATGTTCCTTGCACATTTAGGTTGCAAAAGGATTACTGGTCAACTTAGTATTGTCAAGCTCCATGTGAGGTTGGTAGAGAATTTAAATCCTGTTGATGTTACATATCACTACAAAGATTATGGCATGTGGTCTATTGATTTATGTTGCCCTTGGTTAGACAAATTCCTCCTGCCCATGAAACAATGTAACAATAATATTAACATTATATGCCACTCCAAGTTATTTCTTTTTGCACTTGAATTTCTTGGGAAAAGAAAAGGTTTAATTCAAATATTTATGAGATTTCTATTCTTTTTGACTAAGATTGTTAAAGATGACTAAGGCATATTACAAATTTAATGTCTAAACTTTGCTGGTATAAATTCAATGATCTATTCTTAAAACTAGACAATAAGATAAAACACTGTTGGATTTATGGTTTTGTATTACCTTTGAAAATGAAGTTATAAATATTAAAGAAATACAACAAGTTAGATACAAGTAAGTAGAAATCAAAATTATTACATACAAGAGAAGTGTAAAATGAAATGCCTCTCTTTCAATACTCTTTACTTATAGGAGGAGTTTATATATACTCTAGTTGAATTTCATTTATAATCATCTTCATCTATCCAATTTAATCTTAGATTCTTCTTAACCAAGCTACTACATTAATAAATTATCTTTATTCTTTTACTATCTTTGACCATTAACAATTTATTTAAGATAATTGTATCTTATTTTTATTTTAATATTTTGACTTTGCTATTGATTAAAGGCTTTTAGATCTAATTCTTTTATTAACTTCTAATGCATATCCTTTATTAATGCTTTTGTTAGCAAATCAATAAGCATGTCTTCTATTGCATAATACTTCATGTCAATCATTCCAATTTCAACCTTCTCTCTTATAAAGTGACGTTGAATGTGAATATGCTTGGTTCTTGAGTGATGCTTTAGATTTATTGTAGAAGTAAGATATCTTTAGTTATTACATTATATTGAAGTTGCTTCCAATTGCACAAGTCCAATGTCTTCTAAAATTTATTTTAGCCCAATTGCCTCTATTACACCTTAAGTTACTGCCATGTATTCTACTATCATGGACACAGAAATACAGACTCGAGATCTAACAAGAAGTTCAAGAAGAACTGGCAAGAACTAGATTAATCAGATGAATACAAGAACAACACCAGAGAGGTGAGCTAGAGCTCCAAGAGATGTGTTGTCGAGACTGAAGAACTCTTCAGCCTCGATTCTAATATATACTCCTATTTAGGAAGCTTCTCAAACAACTTCTACCAACTAGGAAGCTTCTAGAAGGTTCCAGAGACTTGCTTCTAGAAGGTTCTAGAAACTTGTCTCTAGAAGGTTCTAAGGACTATATCCCTAATATCTTCTACTAACTAAAAAGCTTCTAGAAGATTCCAGAGACTTGCTTCTAGAAGGTTCTAGAAACTTGTCTCTAGAAGGTTCTCAGGACTATGTCCCTAACATCACCCCCTCTTTTAGCTTCGAGGTCTTTGAGAAGCAATGTTGTTGTTAATCAGTACCAACGCAAGAAAATGAAGATCTGTCGCATAATGTCTGCTATGAACTCCAATTGTTGTTCACGAGGCAAGTGGTTCATCGGCCCTTGAAGCCAACGGTAGTGGCCCACTCCTTCAACTTCTGACCAAGCATGAACTTCCGTGTCCTCATTGTGAAATTGTCCTGCAAACACGCCTTCTGGCTGACTATCGTAAGCAGGCTCGAACTCAAATACAATCACCAGTGATCGGTTACTCGGTATCCTCCGTCGTCGTCGTGGTGTAGGCGATTCTTCATCTCGGGGTCGCCTTCGTGAGCTAGTCGGTTGAGATAATCTGACTGACATAGTATCTATCTCTTGGCTATCCATATCAGAAGACCAAACTATGGCTACTGCAAAAATTCTACTTTATCTTGGAGAAAATAACTACATCAATTGCAAATTTTGGTGGTGCTTTCTCCCTTTCTTATATTCTTGGATGAGCAAGCTTTAGAAGGAAGCTATCGTCGAACCGGCTTAGGTTTATGAGGATATTGTTGATGAAACTCCTGTATCTTTTGCAGCGCATTGGCGAGATTTTCAGCTGACTCTCACGTTTGCTCATTAATGTTGTAGCCGCTCCAATGAACAAGGTATTCTAGGTTGCCCCACCTTTGCCGTGAATCCAACACCTTTTCAACCTCATATTCCTCGTGGTTCTCGATCTCAATACTAGGTGGTGGACATTACACTCTTTTAGGAAAAGACGACTCTCGATAAGGCTCCAACAGAGAAACATGAAAGACTAGATGTACCTTCATAGAAGCCGGTAATTCCAGACGGTACGCCACTAGATTGATTTGCTTCTGAATGATAAATGGTCCCAATCTTCGATAGTTCAACTTATCACATGGTCGCTTGGTCTTGATATTTCGTCGAAGAAGCCATGCTTTATCTCCAATTTTGAAAGTAGGTACTTGATTCTGAAATCTATCTGTAGATGCCTTGTAAGATTCTTTAGCAGATTGTAATTGAAGCTTCAACGTATTTTGAAGCTCTGATAGTTGTTTCGTAAATCCTTCAGCTACTGGATTGTTATTTGTTGACGGATTCAATAAATCAAGCTTCAGATGATACCTATAGTTGGAAAAGAATGGTATATATTGAGTCGACGCATGGAGGGTGTTGTTATATGCAAACTCGGCTAGCGACAGATATGTGGTCCAATCATCTTGCTGATAGTTGATGCTGCATTGTAAATATTGTTCCAAGACTTGGTTCACCCATTTTGTTTGGCCGTCAGTTTGAGGATGAAAAGCCAAAGAAAGCTTGATATCCACCTTCAGTATCTCAAAGAGAGATCTCCAAAACTTTGATACGAACTGGGTTCCTCGATCTGATACGATATCATCTGGTAGTCCATGATATCGATATACATTATCGAGAAAGAGCCTTGCTGGGACTTCACTGGATGATGTCTTCTTACAAGGGACAAAGTGCGCCATCTTTGTAAGCCAATCTACCACGACAAAGATGTTGTCAAATGAGTTCGATGATGGCAGGTCCGTGATGAAGTCCATGAAAACTGAAGACCATGGTCGACATGGAATCGACAATGGCTGTAGGAGTCTATAAGGGTGATGCCAAAGATTCTTGAATCTTGAACAGATGTCGCAGGAGAAGACAAAATCTTTCACATCCTTCTACATTTGGGGCCACCAAAAATCTCGAGAAATAAGCTCCAAGGTCTTGTTGAATCCAAAATGTCCTATAGCTAGAAAATCGTGGCGAGATTGAAGAACTTGGAGTCGTGCTGGTCCTTTAGGGATATACAATCGCTCCTCAAAGTATAAAAGATCTCCTTCCACCTTGAATTTGTTGTCATTGGCATGCTGCTTGATATCAATGGCTATTGAATCTTCAATGGTTACGGCACGTATTTGATTCAGGAAGTCAGCATCAATTGGCACAATAGTAGCACAAAGCCAAAATTGCTCTGGCTTCAAGAACATCGTATATTGTTGATCAAACGCTGCTTCTCCAGCCTTTGGTACAAGATACGATCTCCTCGATAAGGCATCAGATAGTCCTTGTTGCTTTTCAGGTCGATAAGTGATAACAAAATCGAACCTAGATAGCAACATATTCCACCGAGCTTGACGTCGATTTAGAACTCGAGTCGACATGAAATACTCCAAATTCTTGTGATCTATGTATACAGTCACTGGGTGTGCAGCTCCTTCAAGAAAATGATGCCATTCTTGGAAAGAATCCACTATAGCAAGAAGTTTCTTATTATGGATTTCGTAATTACTTTCAGCAGCAGAGAACTTTTGAGAATAGAATGCAACCGGATGGAGCTTCTTGTCTTCTCCCATTTGTGAAAGTACAGCTCCCAAAGCAAAATCCGAAGCATCAGTTTCTAAATAAAAAGCCTTTGTAAAGTCTGGATGTATCAAGATTAGAGCCGTAGTAAATACGATCTTCAGGTCTTGAAATGCCTTCTCCGCTAGAGGTCCCCATTTCAGCTTATCCTTGCATGTCAACTGAGTGAGAGGAGCAGCAACTTGAGAGTAATTCTTGATGAAGATCCGATAGAAGTTGGCAAAACCAAGAAAGCATTGTACGTCTCTAACCATCTTTGGAACCTGCCAAGACACGATTGCTTCAACCTTCTTGGGGTCCATCTTCAAGCCTTCCGTAGTCGCAATGAACCCTAAAAACTCCATCTCTATTTGGTGAAATAAACACTTCTCCAACTTGGCATATATTCCTCGCTCACGTAGTTTTTCCAAGACTAAACGAACGTACTTTTCATGCTCTTCCTCATTTTTGGAGAATATCAGAATATCATCCAAATAGATGACAACAAAATCATCAAGGTGCTCTCAAAAAATGTCATTCATCATATGTTGAAAGACCGCTGGAGCATTGGTAAGACCAAAGAGTATGACATTATACTCAAAATGGCCATACCTTGTACAAAAAGCTGTCTTCTAGTCATCTCCTTCCTTGATTTGTACGAGGTTATAAGCTCCCCTTAGATCAATTTTTGTAAAGATCCTTGTACATCGAAGTTGTTCTAAGAGACCAGAAATAAAGGGTAACGGGTAATGATTCTTCTTTGTTACCTTGTTGAGGCCTCGATAGTCCACACACATCCGCAATGAGCCATCTTTCTTCTTCACAAATAAGATGGGTGCTCCAGTTGACGATTTTGAATGATGGATGAAGTTCTTGGCTAGATTCTTGTCGATGTACTTCCGCAACTCCGCCAACTCCGTCTACGATAGATTGTAGATTGGGCCAAAAGGCGGTTGTGCTCCTTCCTGTAAGTCTATGGCACAATCATATGGTTTGTGTTTCGGTAGCATGTCGGCATTCTTCTTTTGAAACACGTCTTTAAAATCCTTATATTGCTTCGATATACTTGTTGTCGAGATCTTCTCCCTGGTAGTTGGAGCCGCATAAATGACAAATGGTGTACCTTTCTTGGACGATCTTATAAACACTCTTGCTCCAATGAATAAGGATTTTTCTATTTGGGGTTTTCTACTAGGCTTGCTCTTGGATGGTTTTGTGGGAAAGGTCATCTTCCGCAACTTCCAATCTATGAATGGGTTATGCTTTTTCAACCAAGAAAGATCGAGAATAACAGGATTTGATGGGATTCTAATAATATTGAAAATAATATGACTACTATGGCCCTTAAACGTCACTTCTATAGGTTTTGATTCATGGGTGA